CACGTGGAGGTAAGTCTATCGCACACTATACTTCTCCTAATCATATATATATATATATATATATATATATATATATGTATATATATCGTGTCGGTGGTTAAATGAAATCAAAGCCAGAATGATATCTGTTAAAAGACGTATCATGAAAGCACGTGTGTGGGGATCGTTGTTAAACGGCAAACGTCCCAAAGGGAATTGTGAAATTTTAAATTTGACAACCCCTATATTAAAACCAAGCTAAATAAACAGAGCAATCAATGACCATTCCTAATATTATTTTGCTAACTGAAATTAAAATTTTGAGGAAATGGATTTATTTATAGTTATTCATGACTTATATACAAGAATTACTTGTAATTACCAACTTAAACAAGAATTGATATTTGTAAAGCCGATATACAAGCAGCATTACTATGATATTTGCTAAAAGTTTAATTCCTTAATGTAGTGAGTTGAGGTGGTTATGACAGACAGAGTCATTTAATGTGAAGAGATATGTCGGCAGCTTCTTCAAGGAAATCCACGAACCAAGGCTTTTTGTGGATAATAAATAACCTTTGGACGGTATGTTATCTGACCTTTAAGCTTAGTTTCAAGCATGAGGTGTTAAAAAGCTTATTCAAATGTCAAATGTACTAGGACACCGTATCGGACTATGATTTGATCAAACTGTCATGATTAGTAGTCAACAACGCCAATTTATTTTACCAATCGAGTGGACTTACATAAGGAAGATTCTTCCAAAAAACGGTGAAGTTCGAAGCTACCAACTGCTTTCGAATGTCCGCGGAAATGAATTTGATTGCACTATTTGAAGAATTACTGGTACTCGGAAGCCACAAACTCTAAGAATTACCAATACACAATTTTAGTTTGTTTTAAGCATGATAAAGGGACAAGCATGTTTAAGATGTCAAAATGTCTTTTTTTGTTAAATGAGTAGTATAGGCCTTTGGTGTGAAAAGCAGGTATTCAATTTCACCTCGACCTAAAAACCTTGTCCATAATGAAAAACCTTTCTACCACTGCCATATCTCGACATCTGTCTCTTGCTATAGTTATAATTACTCACATACGTGCCAAAAAATCCCCTACAAATATTCCTATTTAAATGCTTTTCCGTTAAGACAAAATGACTCCCTTAGCAACCGTTTCAAAACAATATAACCCAAAAGTGGTAAGTTTTGAGTTTCTATAGCCATTACTGTTTTAAGGTTTTAATTTATGTGAATTATAAATGATATTTCAGAAGTTTTTACAGTTTCATGAGTTCAAGAATATTGATTTTGATGCAAGTTTAAAAATCAATTCATATTTGTAAGCACTCTATCAATAATGGATGTCAATGAATAACATTAACAAGCACAAAACTTACATTCTGATGAAAAACATTGTTAGAGCATATACTATTTTCGTAAAACAAATCGTATTGTCAATAGAGTTTCCATAAGGTGTTCCTTACTGGCATTAATGATAATCAATAAAAGCTAAATACCTCTTGAATCTACATTGTATTTTATAATTTAATAAAATGAAACATTCAGATCAATTTTTAATAGTCATCAGTTTATATTTTGTTATCTTTGTCATGATCTTAGGCACTAGTTTTTTTATTTTATAATCAAGAATATAGAAAAAGCCAATTTTCTGCGTCCACTTTACAAGATTTATCACAGAAACAAATAGGAAGAGCTTATATTAGAGAATGAGTAAAATGAAAACATAATTTCTCTAATTAAGGAAGCACAAATATATTGTAAATTCGTTCTCAAATATATTCCGGAATAGTCCGTTCATAAGTAATGTTAATAGACAGCCAATTAAATTAACTAAAGCATTAAATACATACATATTTAGTAACTATTACAGCCATTTTAATTCTCCCCAAAAATGATAGGACAGAATATTGTGTGACTACAAAATAACTCTAAAAGTGCTTATAATTTTAATTTGTTTTTGCTCTACTTTTATGAAGAAACCAATCTGTCGAAAGTGGGTTAACAAGCTTACTTTAATAAGAAACCAGACGGCTCCATAATTCATGCAAAGGCTTAGTATGGCATTTGTAATTTATTGTTAAAGTTAAACCAATACCTATAGGATTATAATGATTGGCGTTGCACCAACCAGTTTTTTGAAATTTGCGAAATCTGTTTTACCTGTCTACATTGATATCTTTGAATGAGTAGAATCCTACTTAATCTTTAAGGAATAAAATGAATTCAGACAAGGCGCGAATAATCATAACTTAAATTGCTCTGAAACCTTTGATGAACAAATTGTTAAAGCTGATTTGATTAATCTTCTATCAATAACACAATTTATGAATTTATTTAATTATTTCAAATGGCAGGCATTTTGATAATTATCATTAGCCCTTTAGTTGACTTCGGGCTTCACAGAAGGAAGGAACATTAAAGTGAGATAAATTCGACAGGGGGAAAGAAGAGCGATTCACAGATGTAACAGACAGACAGACACAAAGGCAGAGAAAAGGCTAGATGAGTACTGTGAAAGGGGTCAAATATGACATACAGTGGGATCATGGTAGTTAGAA